CCAGGTAGAGGCGTCTGGAGAGCGAGGGGCGGGGGGCCCAGCGGTCACAGCAACCGGGGAGATGGCAACTGGCCAGCGGAAGCAGAGGCAGATGCAGGAGGCCCTAAAGCACCCGGGTGCTGGGCAGCTGGAGGGCCGAGCTCAGGGGCCTTTGGGCTCCTGACTCCTCACATCTCCACCACCTCCTACCGGCTCACATGTGCTCAGCGCTCCCCACTTTTGAGCGGATGTGAGAGCACAGTATTGTCTGGCGGTGTTGCGGCTCCCCCATCCCAGCCTCGCTCCAGAGCACTGCGCCCAGGGTTTCCCAGCCCCTTCCCCCGCGGCCACGCCCTCCCGGTCAGCCCCGGGGTCCTTCCCTCTGATTTCTCACTTGAACTCTCATTGGCATTGGACTCAACCCACTTCTCAAATGTCTTCTTCCATCGACATCTGTAATGTGAGCCCCCAGATCCCCCCTTTTCTCGGGCCTTCCTCCCCCTCCCCCAGGCTGGCCGTTCTCACCCGCCTGTGTGCTATGTCAGACTCACCCGGGTCTGGACGGTCCTCAGTTCATTAAACTACAAGATAATCGCTGAGGACGCCAGACATACGCTGAACGTGACTTCTCTCTACACGCATGTCAATGTCACTCAGCATTTTCTACAGCCACTCAATCTCGTCTCAGCTAAAACTTTCTGACATTCGTCAACGGATCATTATCCGCCAAGTCGCCCAAACTTGGGTCTTGTCCTGGGCTCTCCCAGGCCTCCTGCGCACACCTCTAGGGGCACCGTTCACAGAACAGCGCTTCTCTCCCTCCTGGGACCTGCAGGCCTGCCTATCCCTCCTTCATGGGACCTTCTGCGGGCTCCCCGTATGGAGGTGTGTTCTCCCCTCGGCTGCAGCAGGAGTGGGCGAGCACAGGGCATTGGGAGTCTTGTAGCAAAAAGGAAAAACATTGTCTGAGTGAGAATAAACAGGTTCCAGAACGAGTATTACATGCAATTGACACTAACCGAAGACATTCATATACGAGCATTAATTTCTGGCCCTGTAATGTATGTCTTCAAATGCAAAAGGAAGTGGTAGGAGGCGTGGAATGCGTTTCATGGACCAACAGACCCAGGCCCCGTGATGTCTGGAATCAAGGACGCGGCTTGGGAGCAGGGAGAAGAGTGTCCACGCCCTGAGAGGTCCTCCAGCGTTGAATGGCCTAAGGACCCCGTCTTGTCTTTGGATTCTGTTTTGCGTTACTGATTTTTAACTAAGAAACAGCCCCCGAAATTGGCTTTTCATACCTTTGGTACAGGCCTGGCCGGGTAGCTCAGCTGGCTAGAGCGTCATCTTGATATGCCAAGGTTGCAGGTTCGATACCCAGTCAGGGCACATACAAGAAGCAACCAATGAATGCATGAGTAAGTGGAACAATAAATCTCTCTCTCCCTCTCTCTCTCTCTCTCTCTTAGAGATTATGAGGGAAACTTCCTGACAACTACTGCAAGACAACACGTGGTTTCGGGAACCACTTGTTTGAAAAAAAAAAAAAACAATACGAAAAGAATAAGATCTAGATTCTGTTTTTCTTATTTCCCTTTTTTGAAAGTTGAGCTAGCCTATTCTTTATCAAAATGAGATTTTGATGATCAGAATCTTGTTTTCCCATCTCTAAAATGGGTTTGACAAGAATATAAAGCGAGTGAAACTGTGAAAGCACTTGGTGGCGGCTGTGGAAGGCTTGGTTTACAATAAAATACCTCACTGGGCGGCACAGGAAAACAGACACAAGTCTCTAAGCCAAAACCAGCCTCTCAGAAACCAGAATTCAGACTCTTCTATTTTTAAATATATTTTATTGATTTTCTACAGAGAGGAAGGGAGAGAGATAGAGAGTTAGAAACATCGATGAGAGAGAAACATCGATCAGCTGCCTCCTGCACATCTCCTACTGGGGATGTGCCCGCAACCCAGGTACATGCCCTTGACCGGAATCGAACCTGGGACCTTTCAGTCCGCAGGCTGACGCTCTATCCACTGAGCCAAACCGGTTTCGGCCAGAATTCAGGCTCTTAAAGAGGAGGGAGACGAAAGCCGTTCCTGACTTCTGCGTGGCCTCCCCTTGTTGGATAGAAGGCGTTCGGGGTAAACCGAGGCCAAATCAAAGGTGGGTAAGAGACACCTTTGAGTAGGACACTTCCTACAGACCCATCCCTGGGACGACTCGCCCAGGTGCCAGGAGATGAGAGGCAGCTGTGCTCCGGGAGGGTCCTAGCATCCACAGGCCAGGCCCCTGGGTGGCCAGAGGAGCAGCGAGACAACACACAGGGTCACGGGGAAGCCCCAAGCCTGGCAGTAAGGAGTGGAATGCGGGGGGCATTCTACCCGGTTTCATCATTTTACCTGACGGGTGACCAGAGGGCCCAGTGCCTGCACAGAGGAGAAGAGGAGAGAGAGCGGGAATCTGGGGTTTCTGCGAGCGGACACTGGGGCAGGTGTGGCTCTTCCTGCCTTAGGCTGTCCTCGCCCAGACTCCTGGAACCTCAGTGCAGCATTAGAAAAAGCCTCAGATACACCTTCCTGGCTATGCCATCGAATAACAGAAGCCTCTCAGTTAAGAAACTTATAAACTCATGATGACATTGAGGAAGCAGCGTATTTGGCCTGGGAGGTCCCGTGAGTAACACGGCTGTAGGACATGCTTCACAAACATGTTCTCTGGACTCCTGACATATGTGGCTGTGTGATGGGACGCGGACTGCCACCCCGAGTTGGGTTTGGTGACCCTACTTTCCCATGCCAGCCCTCCAGGTCCAGTTTGTTAGACACAATGCCAATAATGGGTGAGGGTGGCAGTGCCGGCTCGCAGTGCGGTGGCCTGGAGGCTGGGGGCTGGCTGTGAAATGCAAGGCAGATGGGGCTTTCCTTCTGCATCTATGACATGCTCAGTCAGCCTGAGGGAAAACACCTCTTACTGAGCGAGGAAAAGTGTGGGTGTCCAGGCTCAGCTAAGGGTACTTCCCTGGTCCCCAGGAATCCTGCTCTCCAGAGAGACAGGTGTGCGGACCCAATGACTGTGGGAGAGACAGGTGGGTGGACCTGATGGCTGACTGTGGGAGAGACAGGTGTGCGGACCCAATGACTGTGGGGGAGACAGGTGGGTGGACCTGATGACTGACTGTGGGAGTGACAGGTGTGTGGACCTGATGATCATTTTATGGTCCATGCTGGCGCTGCTGCTCCTGGAAGTGCCAGGACCACAGAGGAGGAAGCGCTGACTGATTCTGGAGGACCAGGCTCCAGTCCACCTGGCAAGGCTCGTGGCTGGTGCAGCATGAAGAGAACACCCAACGGGGGACACCTGGACAGAGAACACCCAACAGGGACACCTGGACAGAGAACACCCAACAGGGGGCACCTGGGCAGAGAACACCCAAAGACAGCAGGGCCAAGGACAGTGTTTCCTGGCAAGAAAATGTCCTGACCACTCCCCAGGTCACTGTTGTCCCATCCACTGGTTACTACTGTTAAGTACACACATAGGACCTCGAGCTACTAATATATATAAGTAGGGGGGGAGTGTGTGTTGGAAAAAGGCATTTTATATTATTGTCCTTTTTTTTAATTTTCTGGTGAGCATATTTACTGTTAGGGAAGTGGCCGTTTCCAGGAAATCTCTGCTTGTGTCCCCTAAAATCAGACCATAGGGTCATAATGCTCCCCCGAAATCTCGGAACCATTTGATTCCCACTGCTAATTTTAGATATTGCCTTAAGGAAATGTCACTGCCTTTCACTTCAGTGCACCCCAACAGACCAAGAAGCCAGCAAAGAGTAAACACACACACGTGCACACACACACACACACACACACAGCACACATCTATATGATTAGCAGGTAGATATTTATCCTTGACATGTGCACGGCACCTGTCCATGCCCAGGAACTGTGGACACAGAGGTGACCACACCCACATGTAAACGAGCTATTGTACATACCAGGCAGAGCATGTGGCCTGGCTGGTTGGAGGTCAAACATGGTCAGAAGCCCCAGGTTGGAGGGGGCCCAAGAGGGCAAGGCTCCAGGTGTCCGAGCTGCATGCACTGGGGCCAGGACTCGTTTCAGGGAAAGGAGGGGATTCTCGAGGCTGGGCCCATTCATCCCCTTTGAAAGACTCTGAATTTCAGGAGTTTGGGGATTTATATTACATCCATGTGGGCGTCTCATAGGAAGCTCTGAAGACAAATGTGAATGATGTGATCGACTGTCAATTCTTTCTTTTCTCCTTCTCACAGCACATTCTTCCCTTTCATATTCTTGCTTATCTCTCACTCTCTTTCTTCCATGCCAGGATGAGGGCTGCCCATCGACCCCTTGTATAGCACCCAGTACCCACCCCTCAGGCTCCCCGTCCCACTGCCGAGTGCTCCATCACTCGATGCCTTGCACAGGCCAAGAGCCCACCAACTGAGGGAAAATGTGAGGTCGGGAAAGAGATCGCGTCCGATGGTGTTCTCTGTCCGATTTCTCCTAATCCATGGAGAAAACCCAGACTTTGCCTAGGAAAGCGCAGCCTTGAACCTGAGAGCCACCTTAAACGTTCTGCCAACATAGGAGAGAAGCCGTGCACACAATGCCAATCTCCTCTGTACTGAATGGTTTTCTCTCCTAGTTCCATAAAATTAGCAGAACTTAAAGAACAACAGATGACTCACTAAGCCCCACACAGCTCAGCGCACATTCGGGAGGCACTGCCCGAAAGCCTGGCCTGAGGGACACGGTGAGTGAGCTGGAAGGAGTCAGCGGTCACCTCCGGGCTCTGGGAAATGCAGGGAGGTGATGGCAGTGAGGGGCCTGGTTTGCCGGGCTCTGGTGACTTCCCCTCCCTGGAGGACGCTGCCAGGAAAGGAAGAATGTCGATTTACATACCACAGCAGGGCTAATCCACCCCTAGCCTCTGAGTCACAGCCTGTGGGCTTGAGACATCCTGGGAAATCCCGGCTTGGAAGAGAGGAAACGTTAAAATCGCAGTTGCTGGGCTTGTAACCATTCCGTGCAGCTTGCGTCCGGGCACGCCGTTCCCTTGTAAGGAAGAGACGCTGTCCCTGTTTTCCACGCTCTGTGGGCTTTTTGAAACTTTGTATGCTTGGCCTCCCTTGAAACGACACCTCAAGAGCCATTTTCTTTCTTCTTTTCCTTCTGCTCTCCAAGACACCAGGACAGACAGCCCTGCTGGCGCACCCTGAGCAGGGCACGCGGAGAATGAGCGCTGTGGAAGGCGCCTCGGAGCCCGCGGAGGTAAGAGCGCCCTCGGGGAGGTGGGCACCCCCTGCCCACAGCACCTCTAAGGGTGCAGAGATGAACGGGAGTGGACACAGCCAGGCTGCTCCCCAGCTAAGATCCGCTCTGCATTTTAAACAATGCAATGCAGTAAAGACACAGAGCTGGGAGGCATTGCACTGTCTTTGCCGCCTCTGGGCTATATTTCTTCCTTCGCTCAGTGAGAGATTAAATCGGGTTACTTCCCAAGTCAATGCGCTTCATGTTTGGCTCTTGATTTAGGAGAATTTGATTCAATGTAAAACTTAAAATGGATATTATAGTAATGTGGTTGGAAATGCAATGTATTATTGCAATAGTGTAACCATAGTAAAATATTAATATACTAGAGGCCCGGTGCACGGGTGGGGTCTGGCCGGCCTGCCCTGATGGGGTCCCATCAGATGTAGGTCGGCTGGGGGAAGGGGCTGCAGGCAGTTGGCTGACTGCCCTGCCCCTGATTGGGGTATTGGGGGACAATTGGGGGCCAGGCTGGATGGGGAAAGGGCCGTGGGAGGACTCCAGGGCATGACTGGCCTGTCCCGCTCAGCCCAGATCTGCCGGACCCCAGCAGCAAGCTAATCTACTGGTTGGAGCATCTGCCCCCAGTGGTCAGTGCACATCATAGCGAGCAGTTGAGCAGCCTTAGCATATCATTAGCATATTAGGCTTTGATTGGTTGAACGGCCGACTGGACGGCCAGACACCTAGTATATTAGGCTTTTACCGTATAGGATATATTTGGAATTAATACTACTGTCTTTGTTTGGTTACTGGTTACTACAACAGATACTATTTGAATGAATGAATGAACGAATGTGCTTTCTTGGTGTGTTTTTTAAAAGAGATAACCAAGACATCATGGGAAACTAACATCATGGGTATGTAACTGAGCAGCGTCAGACCTGCCTGGCGCAGGGTGGTCTTGTTACTGTGGTAAGTGAGAGGGAAACACCCCGATGCTCCGAATGGATTACGTTTTATGGGGGATCCTTGTTACATAGCTGGGCCCTTAGTAGGACCAATGACGAAAAATCTGCACTTCTTGCAATATCAGATGCCTTCATTAGCAACTGGATAGCAAAGCAAATGTAAGTGAAAAGATCCCCGAAACGGTGTTTAATAGGATTTGCTTCATGTGAACACATGCCCGAGGCATAGGAACCATGGCAAAGTGTTGGCTAATCTCCAGAGAAGCTTCTGGTGATAATTTATGCTTGTAAGCCATTCTTGTTCCTGTTCTCTCCCCCTCCCTCCCTTCTCTCTCTCTCTCTGTCTCTCTGTTTCTCTGTCCCCTCTCTCCTTTCTCTCCCTCTCCTTCCCAGAACTGTATCTAGCTTTTCAATTACTCTTATTTATAAAATAAAAATTAAGGATCCATATATTTCATATATTTTCAGAGAAAATTATATGTGGGAGGAAAGA